ACTTATACTTTTAGACAAAACTAATAAACTGGCTTGTACTTCCGAGGCGATCTGGTTATCCAATAAAATATCAGGTTCATCAAGTCTCGATGTCCTGACACTCTACCGACCACCGAGAAGGGATACCGTAGCTGCCCTGATAGCAATGTTCTGGGTGCAAAGGATCTACTGGTCATAGGTCGTGCCAAAGGGTCTAGGGGTTTATTCCCTTAAACCATTTGGCAAGACCTATGACCAGCAGATTCTTTGCACCTAGAAAATTCCTATCAGGGTGGTGCTTGTTTGCTAGAGGAGCTTGAAAAAATTGCTACACAGCTGAATATTCTGATCATGGGTGACTTTAGCGCGCCTCATATTGCCTGGAACTCGTCCTATATACAGAGTTCTGATTTGACCTTTGACGGTTGTCTTCTGAACATAACCTTTAAACTGTTTCTCACTCAGCCCGTCACTTTTCCAACTCGGGTGCGCGAAGGCTAATGGGCCAACTGCCTGGACCTCGGCTCCACGAAACCGCAGGACAGGATCGATTAAGTGACCTGTCTATCTCCGCTAAGTAAAAGTGATTATGTTGTTCCGCTATTGAAGTACTCGCTTTTTTAATACCCTAGAGGCCCACAGCAATCAGAAAAAATTGTTGGCAAAGTGAATCCGATCAAATGAAGGCCGAACTCACGCACAAAGTTTGAGAATCCTTATTCTTGAAAACAATCGAGGACTAGGATCGTTCCACGACATATTGCACAGGTTTATCGTAAACCACTTTCCGCTTTCGAGGAAAGGTTGACTAACAGACGACGATGGGTTGGGCAGACTTTCAAAACTGAAGTTAATAAAAAGTGGAGGCTGTGGAAAAAATAAATTACGGAGAGGAATCCTGCATCACTAAGAGCATACAAATCTCAGGTAAATCAGATCAAGGGCCTCATTCTTAGAACAAAACTGGATTTTTAAGTGGATCTGCTTGACCGTGCCACTGCGAACCCAAAATTGTTTTACAGTTACCTGAAGCAAAGTACGTGAAACACGGAACCGAATTCCCTGTTGAGGACCGCCGAGGGCATTGATCTTATCGAGAATGGAGCGAAAGTTGATAATCGTTAATAATGTTTCTCGTCGCTTTTCGCAAGTGAAACTGGATATGACTACGCAGTGGACGACGCCGAAGTGGCTACGGTAGTCGAGAGAGTTCACTTCACCGAGACCGTTGCTCTAAAAGAACTCTTAGGACTAAAGGAATCTCAATCACTGGGCTCCGATGAAATACCGGCCATGAATTTGAAGGAGTTCTCCGAAGAGTTGACAAAACTACTCTCTACACTTTTCCAAACATCCTTTGAGACTGAAGGTCTACCAGCCGATTGGAAACCCGCCTGGATTACGCCGCTATACAAGGGTAGAAACCGGATCTCCGCAAACAACTACGACCGATCAACCTGTGAGGACAGCACAGATCATGAGTCAGCACTCTAGTTGTCCCCAGCTCAAGGTGACAGAAACACAAA